GGGCTGGAGAGACGGCTCAGCAATTAAGAACACTGACTGTTTTTGCAGAAGACCCAGGTTGGAATCCTAGCACCCACATGGCAGCTAATAACTGTCTGTAACTCCAGTTCCAGGGGATCCAACAGTCTCTTCTGTCCTTCAGGGGCATTGCATGACATAGGTGCACTTACCTACATGCAGGCAATACACACATACACATAGAATAAAAATAATAAAATAAAAAAATAAAGAAGAAAGAAAGGAGGGAGGGAGGGAGGATGAAGGAAGGGAGAGGAGGCAGGGAGAAAGACGGATAGAAAGATAGATAATAGAGGGGCTGGAGAGATGGCTCAGTGGTTAAGAACACTGTTCTTGCAGAAGACCTGGGTTCGAATCTCAGCACCCACATGGCAGATAACAACTGCTCATAACTCCAGTCCCAGGGGATCCAACAGCCTCTTCTGACCTCCACGGGCATTGCACAACATAGGTGCACTTACCTACATGCAGGCAATACACACATACACATAAAATAAAAATAATAAATTAAAAAAAGAAAGGGAAAGGTAGATAATAGAAAGATAGATGACAGGTAGCTAGATGATAGATGATGGATAGATGGATGGATAGATGATAATGATAGCTAGAATGATAGCTAGAATGATAGATAGATAGATAGATAGATAGATAGATAGATAGATAGATGGCTGGATGATAGATAGATGATAGATACAGATAGATGATAGATGATATAGATGATAGATTGTAGATAGATAGATGATAGATAGATAGATGGATGATAGATAGATAGATAGATAGATAGATAGAGCAGCCATGAGCCAAGACAGGAAGGTAGCCTGTTAGGGTTTGAATGTGAAATTTCCCCAAATGATCATGTTTCTGAGCACTTGGTCCACAGCTGATGGCACTCCTTTGGGATAGGAGGAATGGCTAGTGGAGGCATGTCAGTGGGGGTGGGCTTTCTGTTTTTGGTTCAGGTCATCTGCTTCCTGATTGCCATGATAGCAGGTGCTTCTGCCACAGGCTCCTGCCACAAACGTCCCCTCCTCCCTGCTGTGGAAGCTGAAACTGGGAGAGGAAACAAATCTTTCCTCCCTTGTTTCTGTCAAACATTTGACCCAAGTCAAGACCAGTAACTAACACAGCCCCTACAACTAAGCTGTTTTCAATTCTAGGCAGCCTCTAAACACAGGAAAATACAAAGAACAAGACTCTGTAAAGTTTCCAGAGGAAGGGGAGTTCTGCCTCCAGAACTGTAAGATAATAACAAATTTATGAGTTTTTAAATCTGTGTGTGTGTGTGAAGGTCAAAAACAAAACAAACCAACCAACAAAAAATATAAAGAATCAGGAATCAAAATGGATTCATGCTTTCTAACAGCAGTATTGCACATAGAAGATAAAAGAGAAAACATGTTTGCAACGGTTCGTGCCTATGATCCCAACATTCAAGAGGTAGAAGCAGGACAAGGAGTTCAAGGTCATCTTTGGCTATATAGCAAGTGTGAGGCCAGATTAGGCTATAGGAGACCCTGTTTCAAAAAACAAAAATTTAGAGTACCCTAGGCTGACCTAGAACTCACTATGTAGACCAGGCTCTTCTGACCTCTGTGGCATTGTACGACATGGGTACACTCACATACGTTCAGGCAATACACTCATACACAAAATAAAAATAATAAATAAAATATTTAAAAAAGACCACACACACACACACACACACACACACACACACACACACAAGAGCTTACTGTATTTCCAAGGTCCCAGGATCTGTTCCCAGCACCTACATGGCAGCTAACAACTCTGGTTTAGGGGATCTGAATTCCTCTCTGGCCTCTGCAGGCATCAGGCATGCACATGGTTCACTTTACACACAGGCAGGCAAAACATTTATACACATAAAATAAATTTTAAAAAACTTGGGGGATAAAAAGATGGATAAGTAGTTAAGAGCATGTATTGCAGGGGCTAGAAAGCTGGCTCGGTGGTTAAGAACACTGACTGGGAGCTGGAGAGATGGCTCAGTGGTTAAGGGCACTGACTGCTCTTGCAGAGGACCCGGGTTCAATTCCCAGCACCCACATAGTGGCTACGAACTGTCCTTAACTCTAGTTCCAGGGGAATCAGAAGCCCTTTTCTGACCTCCGCGGCATTGCACAACATGGATGCACTCACATACATGCAGGCAATGTACTCATACACATGAGTACACCATGAGGAATCTCCTATATGGTAATCACCATATCCCTAGAAATCAAGGCATGGGGGAGGTGACAGAGTAAGAAATGAGCAGGTTCCTGGGCACAGGGAAAAGGTGGAACAGGCAGGAGATGCTGGCTATTTGGAGACTCCAAATAGAATGTACATGTATTAGTTCCTAGGCTGGGAATCAGTCAAGGATAGTCATGAATGTCACACACCTGCCTGTCTCCTTTTCTTCTTGCCATCTCCTTCCCAGCATACTGTCACTGATGTCTTCTTAACCTTTATGACCCTCATCTATAAAATGGGGATGATGGTATTCCTCTTAAAGATTTGTGAAGATTAGATACATTAATTTAAGTAAAGCATTTAGAAAAAGGTCTGACTCAGAATGAGATTTTATATATATACGTATATAATTTTTTTTTTTTTTGAGACAGGGTCTCCCTGTAGCCCCAGCTGTCCTGGAACTCACTATGTAAACCAGACTGGCCTTGAACTCACAGAGATCTGCCTGCCTTTTCCTCCCAAGTGCTGAGACTATAGGTGTGTGCCACCACACCCGGCTTTATATATTTTTATTATATATATTTTAATTGAATTTTTGTGTTTCATACAGACCATCTCAATGAATATTAATTATATATGAATATTAATTATCTTTATATCCCCTTCCCCACTGGCACCCTCCCATACCCCTCTCAACTGGAATTCATACATTCTGTCATTTGTGTTAAGGCCTAATGTGTCAAGTTAGTGTCCCCAGATGTTCCTCAGTACAAGTTCATCTACTGAGGTCTAGTCAGCCTATCTAGAGTCCCTCGCTTTAAGAAGATCAGCTCTTCCTCACCCAGAAGTAATCAATTGCCAATATTTCTTCAGCTAAGATCGGGGTCTGCTGTAAAAAATATGTATTTTTTTATGTGTATGAGTATATTGCCTGCATGCATGTAAGTGCACCCGCCTTGTATAATGTCCATGGATGTCACAAGAGGGTGTCAGATCCCTGGGAACTGGAGTTAGAAGCAGTTGTTAGCCACCATGTGGGTGCTGAGAATCAAACCTAGGTCCTCTGCAAGAGCAGCCAGTGCTCTTAACAGCAGAATCATCTCTCCAGCCCCAGAATGAGATTTAAAAAATTTTTTAAATTTATTTTTTTGTGTATGAGTGTATGCCTGCATGACATGCAGTGCCCTCAGAGAACAGAAGAGGTTGTTGGATCCCCTGGACCTGGACAATTGTTAGCTGCCATGTAGGTGCTGGGATTCAAATCTGTAAGAACAGCCAGTGCTCTTAACTGCTGAGCCATTTCTCCAGCTCCCTAGTAGGAGATTTTTTGGGTTGTTTTGTTTTGTTTTGTTTTGTTTTGAGACAGGGTCTCCCTGTAGCCCCAGCTGTCCTGGAACTCACTATGTAGACCAGGCTGTCCTTGAACTCACAGAGATCCGCCTGCCTCTGCCTCCCAAGTACTGGGACTACAGGCGTGCGCCACCACGTCCAGCAGAGATTGTTTTTTTTGTTGTTTTAAGACAGGTTCTCCCTGTAGACGGAGCTGGCCTTGAGCTCCCTATGTAGACAAGGCTGGCCTCAATCTCACAGAGATCCACCTGCCTCTGCCTCCAGAGGGCTGATATTAAGGCATGTGCCACCCATGCCCAACATATATGTTCTTTTTATAGCTGAAAGTTTGAATATTTTTTCAATAGTTCAGAATGAGAACTAATCCTCAAATAATAGTCGGCAACAAAAATATAGCTCTTAAAAACTACATTTGCTGCTAGGCATGGTGGCGCATGCCTTTAATCCCAGCACTCGGGATATATTACATATATATAATCTGGAAAACTTAGATTGAATCTAGGGCCTCACACATGGTAGGCAAACTCACTACTGCTGAGCTATTACTCCAGCTTTTTTTGGGAGGTGTATGTGCTATGGACTGAACCCAGAACCTTGAGCTACCACTGAGCTATAATCCCCAATCCCTTAGTTTTTGAGATAGTGTCTCACTAAGTTGCACATGTAGGTTGATAAACTTGCAATCCTCCTTCCTCATCTTCCAAGTAGTAGTATCACAGGCCTGGCTTCATTAAGTCTTTTTCCATTTATTCTCTACCCCATCTCACTATGGGCTTGGCATGGTGCTGTATCAATCACCCAGGAGTCTCCAGCCTGCATTGCCTTTGAGGTGCTCATCCAGGACATAGTCAACAGGGACACACAGTTCAGTATTGTGATGGGTACTAGAAAATCAAGGGAGAAGGCAAGTGTCTGAAGGCTGAAGTCAGGAATCTATGAGGCAGCTAAGTCAAAACAGTAGGTCTAGGAGACGGAGAAAGGAGGGAATGGTTACATGGCAGCAGGTCAGTTTGAGTGTAGTGAAGAGCCAGGTAAAGCAGAACCATGAAGAGTCAGAGTACAAGTTGCCTTTGAGTTGGGAGTATGTGATGTGGGGATTCTGTCAAGCTGTCTGTACGACCAATGGCATGAGGGGGTCTGGATGAGACAGTTGACAGCAAGTTGATACTGGGGTGAGACTAGGGAATGTTGTCCCCTAAAAACAAGAAAGGGGACAAAAGGTACATTTATCAAGAGGTCCTTCACCTACATTCTTGTTTCTAATTTTTACAATGACTGCATGTAAAACCTGAGGTTTGGGTAGTAAGCAGTGGAGCCAGGATCCCAACCAAAGTCTGAGTCTTCAAGCCTTCCCCACATCCTCCTGTCCTCTTACCTTCCCACCCCCATCCTGGAAGCTACATCACTGTGTATTCTGTCTTCCAGAAATCCTTCCAACCACTAAGATGGCTCAGACCAACCCTATGCCAGGGTCCTTGGGGCCATGGAAGGTAAGTTGAACCAATGAATGGAGGGACCCAACAGGGAAGGGCTGAGGTGCTGCCACATAGTAGCTATAAGGATGTACTTGTTTTTGAGACAGTGAACAACCAGTAAAACTCTGTTGTGTGTGTGTGGGGGGGGCGCATTCAACACCCACACTGTTGAAAGTCTCTCAGGATAGATGACCCTTACAGAGCTGGATGGGTGGCAGATGATACTTGATTTCCTAGGCCAACCTGATTTATCAGATCCCAAATAAAGTCATGGGACCCCAGGCCTCCTGACTCAAATTGTATGCTAAAATGTCAGATTCCCAAGGCTTGCACTGTTTTCCCAATATTCCCTACTTCCCCACTACACAACTCTTGAGGCCAGTTCACAGCTTTGGGAGTTGTCCTCTGGCCAGGTCTAAGAATGAAGTTTTAGTTGAAAGGATGAGAGATTTATCACAACCCTCTCATTATACCTAAGAAACAAAGGGATACTCCACAGGGAGTTCTTAGGACTCCCAGAATCCTGGCCGTTGGGTCACCTGTGCAGGAAGCTTGGTGGAATGAGTCCACAAGCCCTCAGTCTGTTCATTGTCCCTGGTACACCATTCCTGGCATAAACCTAGCCAGAACCTGTGAACACCACCAAGCAGTGATGCTAATTTGAGCCCCTTTCTACCCTGTCTATTCTAGCAGAGACCTTACCAGGTATCCTGGATTTATAGCTAATGATGAGCAACCCTGAGCAGACACAAGTAAAGCTGTACCTGGCTCTATCATTCTTGTGCCATTCAACCCCATTTCAGATAACCATCTACAACCAGGAGAACTTCCAGGGCAAGAGGATGGAATTCACCAGCTCCTGCCCAAGTGTCTCTGAGAGTTTTCATAATGTCCCATCCCTTAAGGTGGAATGCGGCGTGTGAGTATAGACAGCAACAGAGATTCAGGCCTCCATTTCATGTCTCTTTAGACAGACCATAGGAGTAAGGGAAGAAGAAAAAGTTCCCCAAATGCTAATCACCTCTTGGAGAAAGGCCTCCATTCAGAGATTCTTGAAATTCCTACATGTGCTAGAAATGCTACTGGCTTAGTGTTACACTTGCAGGATAGTGACAGTAATTGGATTCGTTGCTTTTAGAGCTCAGAGGCTGCTAACCACAATTCCTTCAGAACAGCCACAGGACCATTTTTCTTGTTTATAGAAAATAGGGAGAGCGCTAAAATGGCTCAGGGGTTAAGAGCACTCACTGCTCTTCTAGAAGATTAGCATTCCATTCCCAGCACCCATATGGTGGCTCACAATCACCTGTAACTCCAGTTCCAAGGAATCTAATGCCCTCTTCTGGTCTCTGCAAACTCCTGCATGCAAGTGGTGTACATAATCTCACGCAAGCACACACATACATACAAGTTAAGATTTTTGTTGTTGTTCTTTGAGACAGGGTCTCCCTGTAGCCCCAGCTGGCCTAGAGCTCACTACGTAGAGCAGGCTGGCCTTGAACTCACAGGGATCCGCCTGCCTCTGCGTCCCTAGCACACACAAGGTTTTTTAAATTGGGAGAGGAAACTGGAGTGGCAGTCTCTCCTCCCACGTGTCGCAGAGCAGACACTGTCAGCAAATTTCTCCATATAAAAGGAACTCAAAACCAAGGCTGCAGAGACATTAGTTAAGTCTCACAGAAATTCTCTTGATAGTCAACCTTGGTGAAGAAAAACCTCTGGCTTTTGTCTTCTGATTCTTGGCAGGCTGGCCCAGGCCTGAACTAAACAGGAGTGGACTCCCCTTTGACCTATGCAGAAGTTACATGCGATCAAGTTTCCACAAGTTGTCTTGCACCAAAATAAAGCTCTTCAATCCTTTAAAACAGGCAGCACTTTAAGATATCCTCAAGTAACTCTCAGTTGTGAACTTAGCTAGAGTGCTCCAACAAATAAGTTATAAGGACTGCAAAGAACCCTCAAGTGACAAATAGAGATAACCCATCCTATCACATTTTTGAAGATACTTACAAGTCACTAGATGATGAATCTGGAGCTCTAGCTAGAGGGAGGTGACTAGAAAGGAAATAGAAGCCTTCTTATGCACATTACTGGGACAGGTAAAGGAGACCCTTTGGTGAATAATTTCAAAACAAATACATTTACACATTGATTAGTACAGCTGTAGATGTTTATTACTTACCTCTTGTGATAAATTACTCTGTGTAACTGTTGGGATTGGCTTATTTTATCCTACTATAAACTCATCTAAAACAAGAGGCCTTCTCCCTAAGGTCATGTAGATTTTGAACACCGTGAACCATTACGTCTTTGGCAGCTGGACTGGTTATGAGCATACCAGCTTCTGTGGGCAACAGTTTATTCTGGAAAGAAGAGAATACCCTCGCTGGGTGCCTGGAGTGGGAGCAATGCTTACCACATTGAGTGTCTCATGTCCTTCCAGCCCATATGCTCAGCTGTAAGTCTAAAATGCCCACCTTTGTACATGGGGATGGGGCAAGAAAGGATGAGGTCAGACTGACATTTGTGTTGTTTCTCCTCAACTACATTGAATGTGGCAGGAATGATGAAAAAAAAAAAGGTAGAAAAGCAACACTGTTCCTTTCCTTTAAGCCTAACATTTGGTTCCCCCCGCCCCCACCCCCTTACAGTAAAAGGGAAGGGTCTTCTTACAAGTTTCAGGAAGCATATAGGCAAGAGTAAAAGTGCTATAGGACAACTAGTGAAAATACCACTGAAGAAACAGCCATGCTTAGTAAGTACAAACTGAAGAAATAGGCAGGTCTTCTAGTATTTCATATCAGCACTGCACAAGTCTGGTTTCTGACAACAGGCATTAAGCAACGCATCAGGCTGTATTTCTATTTGAATCTGACATTTAATTCTTTTATAAATAATGTAGCATGTTTAATTAACACCACCTTGTGAAACTATGAAATATACAATGTATAACAGAAAAAGCATCTTTCCATTCCTAATGTTCCTGAGAGCTCATGAACTGCCTCAATGTAATTAAATATTTCTTAAACTATTTGTCAACATTTAGCAGTTAATTTTATCCTTCCCACACCGGCAACAGTTCACCATTTTCCTTCAGGCCCTTAACATTATCCAGTCTTCCAATTAGCTCTCATGCTTGAGCATATAACTGAATTGGCCAATCTATTTTTTTTCTACCATTTTGCAAAACCTTTTTTTCATTGCTGACAAAATAGGACATTAAGAGGGAAAGTTGGGATTGGGAATTTAGCTCGGTGGTAGAGCACGTGCCTGGCAAGCGCAAGGCCGTGGGTTCAGTCCTCAGCTCCGGGGGGTGGGGGGAGTTATCTTTCAGCTTATAGTTTCAGTCCATTTTCAGTTGACTTCATGATTCTGGGGCTGTGGTGAGGAATAATAGCAAAAGGGCTAACAGAAAAAACGGAAGAGGAAAGCTGCTTACCTTGTGGCAGGCAGGAAGCAGACTTCCATTCTGGAAACACACATGCATTGCAAAGTGCCAAAGACTGATCATAGTCCAAGAATAGGGTATACAGATGCTGCCTGCTTCAGTCCCAGAGCCCCAAATACTATCCCCTCCAACATGGCAACCCCAAGATTGGAAATAGAAGTCCCTATGAGGCCGCATTTAATCTCTGAAAGAACTGGGCATGGTGGTACACACTTGTAATCCCAGCACCCAGAAAACTAAGGCAAGAGAATATTGAATCTAGGGTTTGGAAACATGGCTCATCAGATAAGAGCACTGGTTGCTTTTGCAGAGGACCTAGGTTCAGTTCCCAGTACCCACATGGCAGCTGTCTGTAAATCCAGTTCTAGAGGATCTGACACCCTCTTCTGGCCAAGGGTATTGTATGCATGTGCTGCACATATGTACATGGAGTAAAAAGTCATACACATAAATTTTTTTTTTGAAAAAAAATCTCAAATTCGAGGCCAGTCTAAGGTACACAAGACCTTGACTCAAAAATAGGTTTTTGACTGGGCATGGTGGCGCATGCCTGTAGTCCCAGCACTTGGGAGGCAGAGGCAGGCAGATCTCTGTGAGTTCAAGGCCAGCCTGGTCTACACAGTGAGTTCCAGAACAGCTGGGGCTACTGGGAGACCCTGCTTCGAAAAGACAAAAAAAAAAAAAAAAACCTATGTTGGGGGTTGTGGCACACCCCTGGTCCTCCTCACCACCCCCATCCCCCCACTAAACTATTAGT